ACTTATATTCAAGTCATTAAAGATATGTATACTAGAGCTGTTACTTGTGTTCGAATTAAAGGAGGATTGACCAAATAAAGGAGGATTTGTGTTCGAATTAAAGGAGGATTGACCAAATATTTTCCTATTTCGATTGGATTACATCAGGGATCAACTTTAAGCCTATATCTTTTTGCTTTAGTTATGGATGGTCTTACTAGACATTTACAGGAGGATGTACATTGGTTTATGCTTTTTGCTGATGATATCCTTCTCGTGGATAAGACGAGAGAAAAAGCCTAGGAAAAACTTGAATTATGGAGGTCTACATTGGAGTCTAAAGGCCTTCATTTGAGTAGAACTAAAACTGAATAAATGGAATGTAATTTTAGTAGTAGTTGTAGCTCTAGTGACAGAAGTGTAACTTTGGGTGATCAAGTTATTAAAAGGTGTGAACGATTTAGATATTTCGGGTCTGTTGTTCAAAATAATGGTGATATAGATGGAGATGTTAATAGTAGAATTCAAGTTGGTTGGTTGAAGTGGAGGAATGCTTTGGGCCTTTTGTGTGATAGAAAAGTACCACGTAGATTGAAAGGAAAATTTTATAAGAGGGTGGTGAGACCTGCAATGCTCTATGACGCTGAATGTTGGCCTTTAAAAGAGAAGCATAATACTAAGTTAAGTGTTGCCGAGATGAGAATGATTAGGTGGATGAGTGTTTTTACACTCAGAGAAAATGCGAAATGATTATATCCGTGATAGGGTTGGTGTAGCTCCAGTGACAGACAAAATTAGATAGAGTCGTCTTAGATGGTTTGTTCATATTAAACGTTATTAAACGTCGGATCCAATTAGGAGAGTTGATGTTTTAGATTCAACTTATGTTAAGAAAGACAGAGAACTTATGTTTCAACTTATGTTAAGAAAGACAGAGGTAGACCTAAGAAAACTTGGGTGTATTAAAAATTGATCTTAATTCATTAGAACTAAATGAAAATGTGACACTAAATAGGATACAATGGAGAAAAAAGATTCATGTAGCCAACCCCACGTGGTGGGATTAAGGCTTTGTTGTTGTTGTTGAAGTTTACCTTGGCTTCTTTTATGTTTTGTTTGTCATTTTTACGTTCTTTTTAGGTCATCTATCAGACGAAAATTTGACGGCATTTTGGCAGCCTTATGGCGTCATCCCTGTTTGGGGGTCGCATCAGAAAACTTAGGTTCCTACCAAGCTTAAAAATGTGCACAGCCAGCGTCTCTCTACACTGCGGCCAGAGGATCTTCAAAATCCACCCCACTTAAAGAAGAATGCATGAGGCTTTATGTACTTGCGTGAGAAAATAACACACGCACATGATTATTCCTGTGGAGTCAACATGACCCGAGGAGTCTCTAACCTACCACGTTTCAGAAACGGTGCATGGACCTTCAATACACACATAAGAAATTCATAGCACAAATTTTTCTCGTCATGCTGAGATGACACAAACGAGTACTTTTGTTTTCACAGCTGATGAAATTATCTTTTTGCATAGTATCATATGCACGAGATTGTTTTTCAGGTAATATGCAGTCCCTGCCATCACTGTTCGGGCATAAGAGCCATTGCCCGGGAACTTCTTCATCTTAATATTCACAGGAGAGACCAACTGATCGTGCATCAAATTTCTTAGCTCAGAATTGTAATTATGAAGCTATTTATTATCAAACCAACTGCATTCTCTAGCCATTCTGTACAAAACCCATGCTAAGTGCAACCCCACCCAAGCATTCGTTGGCAAAATCAACGTCAAGAGCCTCAGAAATAAATGCTTCAAATAAACACAAAAATAAATTGAGGTTTTCTTTTCAAAATGCTCTCTAGATGTGAAAAAACATTTAAGACATTTAATTTTGTGTTGTGGAAAGAAAAACAACTACTAAATCTTGACTAAAGAAAAGCATCTTGCATTCGGCTAATTCATTAAAGGAAAAGCATCTTGCATCTCGGCATGACCCCACTGAACCAAAAGCTCAAGTCTGTTCATCAAAGAAGGGTGAATAGCCATCAAAAGCGTTGGAGTGCAGCTGAGGTTTACATTAGAGGATCAGCTGAAAGGGTGGTGCGAGTAGAGCCGCTTTATCTTGGCCTTTGCCTTGTTGTGTTCACGCATGAAGAGGAGCAGAGAAGATTTGAGAGGGGAGAGCTGCTGGGGTTTATCTTGACTCTTGTCCTGTTGTGTTCGCGCACGAAAGAGGAGTGGAGAAGATTTGAGAAAGGAGCTGCTGGATTTGCCTGAAGCTTATGAGATGGAGCAGCAAGCAGGATGGCTGATGCCTTTTAAGTTTGGTTCAGCCAACAGGAAGAACTGCTGTAGCCTTCAGGCAATGGGGTGGCAGAGGAAGCGATCAGCATCATCTGTGGGAGGGAGTTAAATCGGTCAGTTGTTGAGGGCTTGATACTGAGTGCAGCACAGTGAGGCAAAGAGAGGCCCAGGCTGCTGGTTGACTGTGTGCGGGAGATGGAGGAGATCCAGTGGAGGAGGTTTTCGAGCTGGCTACAATGAAGAAGAGAGGCTCAGCTGTTTGCAACACAGTGAGGCAGAGCTGGATGGGTAGATGCATGGCTGCTTGGGTTGTGAGCAAGTTGTGGCTGGAACATGACAGGCTGGGGAAGTGCAGCTGGGAGGAATTTGGAAAGCTCGGGCCTTCTTTTTTTGCACACGGTAGAAGAGAGGCGGAGAGGGCTGCGGGTCTTGAGCTGGAAGAACGAGAGAGAGCTGCACTGCCAAATATGCTAAGTGGGGAGAAAAGGAACTGGGTACTGCTGTATGCGGAAGAAGCCAGCTGCTGCTAGAGATTTTTTCTATCTGGACAATGGAGCTCAAAAGGTAATGTGCACGATTCGAACTTGCGATCTCGTGGTGAAAATCAAACCCGTAACCATTATGTCACAGGGAAGGTGTCAAGAGCTTTTTATGCACACGAGCACGCCCGCACACAGACGCATCGAAGCATTTTTATCTAAGTGTCGTTGATTAGTGAATAATAGTCCAGCACTCGTTTGAACAAATTCTACATTGGTTGATGTGATTTGAATTCAATACATGTGATGTTATTTTCTATCTCATTGTTTTCATTAAGCTATTCAAGAACCCTTCTTAGGCAACTATGAAGCATTCAGATGCATTCTTGCAATTAGATTTATGATTGGGCAACGTTTGGATATTTTAATAATAAGCGAAGCAGTTTAAACTCAATTTGCACATTATTGTATCTAGTGCTCGTAGTCTTTATCGAGTAGTCTATATTGAGTAATATTGGCATTAGAGATGCATTAGCCAGGTCCGTTTTGCAAATGACCAATGTTTTGAGTGGCTTGGAGCATAAACGGCTCATTTTGACCTTAATTTATGTGATGTTGCATTTACTGTTTGTTGCTTGTCATGTCTTATCAATTCACCTTGTGGAATAGATCTATATGTGAACATGGATGAGTTGATGATCCCTTAGAAAGAGTCAACTTCTGAACCAACAACTTCTGAATTTGCTGTTGGTAACAAGCCACTGCTTTTAATAATGATTTTTCAGAACAAGAGAAGTGTTGTATTGGTGAATTCTTCTAATCTTCCTCTAGGAGAAGCTATTCAATAGAAAATGAGAAAATTAGTAGAAAAACTGATACTAAGATTGGTCCTAATCTATCAGTCTTATTGAGTTCTATCTTGCCAAATCCTAATTGGGTAAATAAATTACATTACTTTCAGATGCTCCTTTTCACAAATCTGTCTAAAAGGAGACCTCTCATTATTATTTTTTTTTATTGATAAGTCAAAATCTAGAAATCTCTTCACTTTTTATTTTGTGCAAAATCATTAGGTAAGATTTTCGAAATTGCCAAGGAGAAGAATTTAGATATTTCCAAGGGCGTGTTGGTGGCCACATTCTTACAACTCTTAAATAAGAATACGAGTAAAGATGATTTGGTTGTTGATACTGTTGAAGTGTTTGTTGATGATTAGAAGAACAAGAAGAAAGCTCAAACATAGATCCCCTCTATAGCATAGTCACGGGATTTATTTTTTTTGCCCTAGTCACTCCAAGATAGTCAAGTGAGACTTCTTTTTAGCATAGGAATGCTAAGGATTCAATGACTGGGATTTACTCATTGAATTCTTCTCTGTTTTCTATTCAATATTGCGTTGAATTGGTTAGAATCGGCTTTCAAGGACAACTTACCTTGATACAATTATTTGCGGAGAGCGAGAAGCAGAAATTTTTTGCATTAGAGGAAAAATTTAGTTATTGACATGATGCTTAAATTCTAAAAAAAATTTTAAAAATAAAAAGGAAAAAACCGGAGGCAGAGGTCAGGCCCTTTTCCATTATTCAGCAACATACACTATGGCAGAAGTTTAAGGGAGAATGATAGAGATGGGAGTGAGAAAGGGAATGTGTTCGATGAGGCGTCATCGTCAAAGAGGGATGGCCAGCATTGAAATCTGTCAATGGCCAAGCTAAAAATGGGAAGCTGTTGTGGGTTGCTAAACTTAGCAGCAGCAACAACACCAAAAATAAAAGGCAGAAAGAAAAGTGGCAAGTTAGGGAGAGAGGTTGAAAACAACTTAGCTTTTCATATCATGAAAAGTTTTACACAATAGATATCTTTAGGAGTTGTGTTTCTCCATTTACTATTGTTGAATTTTATACAACTTTACTGAAGGGAGAGAGAAAGTTAGTAGATATAAATTACAAAGCTATTCTAAATAAGTTATCCCATATTAAGGTAAATAAATACAAAATATTTTACAATTAAGTGACAAAATATTTCAAAGAGATTCGAGCTTTGATTGTTGGTGTAGATTTATAAAACCATCTCCTGATCTTATTGTTACTACCTTTTTGAATTCCAAAAGTTATTTTGTTCATATTTTTTTCTTGTTTATTATTGGTGAACATTTTTGTTAGAAGACCGTTTGCATATATTTCTGTAGCTGTTGACTTAGAATCGGTGCTAAATTGGTTTATTGCTATGACAGAAAAGGGGTGAAATTAAATTTTGGGAAGCTGAGTGCTTTAAAATTGATCCAGCAAACAAGAGAGTTCATTGTCGGTATACTACGGCTGCAAACAGTGGCAGAATGGATGAATTTCTTGTTAATTATGACTGCCTGGTGGTAGCAGTAGGTGCCAGGTCAAACACTTTTAACATTCCCGGTGTGGAGGAAAACTGTCATTTTCTTAAGGTACTCTAACTTTCTTAAAGGTTCAGTACTCTTCTATTCAACACACATCTTCATAATGTTTAGAATGTAAATGACTTGAGAGAATGGTTAGTTGGCCCATGTAATTATGGTTTATCTAAGCAGAGCATGTAAACAATGATCTTCAAATTTGTGAGCACGTTAATTCTGGTTTTTTCCTGAGTTGTGATGATTCGCTAATATGGTGCCACATAAGCTACCAGCTTACTTGTTACCTTCATTGACCTAATCTTTTGTAGGAAGTAGAGGATGCTCAAAAAATTCGTAGGAGTGTCATGGACTGTTTTGAAAGGGCCAGCTTGCCAAATCTAGATGAAGCTGAGAGGAAGAAGAATCTTCATTTTGTTGTTGTCGGAGGTGGCCCAACTGGTGTTGAATTTGCTGCTGAGTTACATGATTTCGTTGCTGAAGATTTATCCAAATTATACCCTTCTCTTTATGGCCTAGTGAAAATAGAAGTCATTGAAGCTGGAGAGCATATTCTGACAACGTAAGGAAGAAATTGGTATTTATTGGCACTATGATGTTTTTGTTGATTTTATAGTTTTTCATTTTTTTTTTTGGAATGATGGGGGAGAAAAATCATCATTCTCATTTCTTTTGCTACAATTCGTGAATATGGTGGTAAAATTAAGGTTATCTTATGCTGAAGCGATTAATAAAAAAAATTTAGCAAACATTGAAGATTTTTTTCTTCTTTGTGAAACATTATCCAACATCATCCTCATTTTGTTTAAACTTATTCCTAGTATTTGGGCTGCAAATCTCAAACCATATAAGACATGGAATTGCATGGTGTTTTTATTAACATTAATAGGCTGAAAGACACGTTTTATTTCGGTATTTAGAAGGTTTATTTTAGTAGAAATTTCAAGTGTACATGCCTGTCCCCTGATTTAAAGATTAGAATTCTCCAAGTTAATGTTATTTTTTGGAGTTTTGTAGCTGTTTTGAAGTTTGCGACTGAAATGGCTGACTGTTTTCTTATCATTTTGACTGCATTTTCAAGCCTTCTGACTTCAACATTTAATTCTTCGTTGATTCTATTGTTGAAATAGCATATTGAAGACTTATTTTATTGACTTATTTTGATGTTCACGGTAGTTCACATGCAGGAACAGCTTGGTTAAATAAGTTGGTTACCAGTGTCTACTATTTTTCGCTAGTTTGTTGTTAAGCAATACAATTTGACATTACACGAAGAGGTTGATCCTTTGGAATTGATGGCTGCGAGTTGTGAAGGTTTGTGGGAATTAATTCTAACTTCAACAGTTTTTTCTTAGGTGTGAAGGTTTGTAGGTTTGACCTAAGTAGAAACTAAGTATGTTTACACGTTTGACTATTTTTCACTTATAAAGCCATTAATTTTGTTGTTAAATAGAAAATGAATTAGTTTTTAAAGGTAAATATTGCTTGGGTGTCCTCGGGGATGAGGCTTAAACCAAACATCATTATCATTAATTGATGTATGGAATTTTGAAGTAGGGATTTCGGTGGGCACACAACCATTATTTGATTTTATACCTTACATAGATCATTTTTAGGAGGTAGAATCCTAGACACAATTTCACATTGCCAATTATCCTCTCCAATTTCAAGTCCTGAAATTAACACAAATTAAATGAGAAATTAGTAACGTAATTTTTGTCTCAAGTGAATTTGTCTATTGATAGTGTGGAAAATAGAAGAGTGGAAAAAAATTTCTTACTTTCTTAATAGAGGAGAATAGTGTCATTGACTTTTGAGTATGTTTATCTCGCAATTTCCTAGTCTTAGTTGAAATAAGGAACGGCCCTTTCAAATTTAATTGAATAGTGGATTCAATTTTGTGATGAAGCCCTAGATTTATTGTATTTTGCTGGGCATTAGGACTTAAATGATCTTCATCTAAAGTAAAGAGCAGCTAGAGCACTTATAATTAAGTTTTCTAGCAACAGGATGGTTTCCTTGGTGTATCTAAAGAATAATAGTTTGAAAGATGACAAGAATTATCTACCATGTGATGAATAGTTTATGGATGGTGACATTGGGGTCATTTATCTGAGTTATAACAAGAAAATTTGAACGTTAATTTTTTCAATGGAGATTTAAACAAGACTAATATGTCTCATACATGACAACACGTGATAAAAAAAATGTATACATTAAAATTTAACTATTTCAATTTAATTAATATTTTAAAATTTTTTTTATTGATTTTATTGAAGGGAAGGGAAAGATGACTGAGATTGAAGAAAAGGAGAAATAATGGGAGAATTTGGAGTCAGCTGAAGGTGAGGTAGGAGAGAAATATATTCATTATGATGATGGAATTATGATTATTTATTATATTCTTATTTGAATTTATGGAGGTTGTTTTGTTGGAGATAGGAGTGAGGGCTTTTTTTTTGTTTGGGAGAACCCGGAGGGAATTTTATTCAACACAAGGAAAAAATTATAGATTTCAGTTGGAGGTTCCCACTACACCCAAATACAACTCACTCAAATAAAAAACCAATAGGATCCTCCACCAGCACTTACAACTCAATCAAAGAAAACTCCAAAAAAACACTTAAGAGTACTGACATATGGCATGCCAAGCTAAACTCCAATGTCTAGCTTCCGAAACTTTTCCCCAAACTGAGAACTAACACAGACATTATTGCTAAGAGCACCCAATTTAACAAGGAAATCAACCGGCTGATTTGCCTCTCTGTAATTGAACGACCATCTTATTTTAAAGCATGACAAAATTTTGTTGATCTTTCTCCACAGAATGCCAGTGTATCAAAGATGTGTAACTTTCTCCAGGCAGACTTGAAAAGTGTGCAAAGAGTCCATTTCGATGTATAAGTTCCACAACCGAAGCCTTTTAGCTATCAATAAACAATAATACACAACAACTAACTCAGATAATCTCAAAAGGAGCATAAAAGAAAAGTAGACCATACCCGAACCAATCTCTAAAAATACCTCCAACCCCTGTAGCTCCCATTTTAAAGCTACCATCCACATTTACTTTAAAAACTAGCTTTTCTGGCACATTCCATATTACCAGCTTAATGTTATTTCTCCTTCCAACATTCCTGTTTTCCATACCATCAGAATTCCCTAAAGAATTCTCTGAAAATATATAATTCTGAATTTTAAAAATAAAAGCATTGATATGAATAACTATCCCTTCAGCAAGTTTTAGCACATTCATTATGCTTTCTTTGATTACTCTCCATCCAAATAAACCAACAACATATATAAGGAATAAAACTTATATATGTTAAACACTGGCTCAAGGAATTATATCCAATTCTAGGCAAAAAAAAGCACTCCCAAGCTTAGTACTCATCTTGTTCCACACTAATAAAGAATAGCAGTAGTAAAAGAAAGTATGCACATAAGTTTCCTCATTCTGCCGATGACACAGATAGAAGCCGTTCTAAGCCCCTTAAGGTGAAGTATATCTGTTGGCGCTAAAAAGTAAGTAAAGTTATTAAAGTTTGGGGGGGCGTTGCCCGTAAGAAGCTGTCGGTCATCAGAATTGAAATTTCGTTCCCCGCTTCGGAAGGACTCTTTAATTTACATATATATATATAATTTTAGAAAAATGAAATCAAACTGACCTCATAATCTTCACAGTTTAAATGAAAGAGCACTCTACCTCAAATCCTGTAACTATCCCGAGGGATAAACACAAGATTTGAGGATGAAACTCGATCAAATAAACTAAATGACAAGTTCCACTATTCAATACAAAGAATTAAATAAAATTTATTTTAGGCTGGGTTCGGAAAAACTTCCTATAAAGGCAAGCCCCTATAGTTAATTACATCTTAAATGACCGAAGTCACTTAAGAAAACGATAAAAATCAGGGAATACTATCTTCAAAGAAGTCAAAAGGATAGGAATTTTCAACGAAATCAGATAAAGAGATGTGAAAGGGGAAATGCTCGATTCTGGAACATTGTTGAGGAATCCAAATGAAGAGAAACTAGGGGAGGTCACAGATCCGGAGGTGAACTCTGGTGACTTCCCGGTCTATCCTATGATTTGGCTTCAGTTTTGAGAAGAAATTATTCAAGTGTTTCATCCTGCCAATTTTATTTAATTATGACTTATATTTACTTGACATAGTAACACAAATCGCCTGAAAGATATAAGGGTTTACGTCGTATCGGACGACAACCTCGGAACCTAGAAGGAGTTAGGGCTTAAATTACACAGTCTGGCTGTGCAAAGGCCTAAAAGATAAAGTAACAGATAAAGTGAAGATTTATGTTGCGCTAGACAAACAACCTCGAAATCCTATGACTTATTGTTTAATTTTTAGGAAAAAAATGGTTTTGCTGGGGAAGACATGTTCTGCTGTTGAAGATGATCGTGCTGCCCACCGCGCTAGCTCCAAGCTCCCCGACGTGACGAGTTTAAGTTTTCTGGGGTGTCCAAACGACCCTATGGTTGTAGTCCTCTAAATGCCCTATATAAAAGAAGGCATGCTTAAAGCTATGTAATATGAAATGTGCAATACAGGAACAAACAATAGAATGCATGTGGAACAGTAACAGGTAGAGATAGGAACAGTATAACATGCTATATAGGAAGAACAGTAGCAAGTAGAAATATGAATAATATAACATGTTGTACGGTACGGTAGCAGGCAGAAACAGAACAGAAACAGAAATGGTATAACATGGGTATAACATGCTGTACAGGAAGAGCTAAAATAGCAGGTAGAAAACAGGAATAATATGACATGCTATACAGTACAGTAGCAGGTAGGAACAGGAAAATAAAGTACTGTAAAATGTAAAACAAACATGTAAGCCCGTGAGATCCAATGTTTCTTAAGTATAGCAAGCCTAAATGCATCTCAAAAGCAAAGTCCGGAAGAAAACGTCATCCAAAAAAATCTAAAGAAGAGTGTAACAACGACTCATGACAGAAAACTCTAGAGAAATCAACGAAAAAGACTCAAGTATCGAAAAGACCTGGAAAAGTAGGGCCCAAGGTCTTTACTAACAAACATAAATGGCAAGTTCGCGCTAATTTTTCAAACCCCAAAGACGTAGGATTGATCAAGTCAACCAAATGTTTTTCCAAAATGAGGTTTAAAATATCCCAAACTTCAAAAGAAAGTGACATCGGGGAAACTACCACCGATATTTCCAAACTCATACCAAAATCAAAATTCTCCAACTTTCAGATTAATAGATAGCCTCATACATTAAATAAACACGAAATCTTCCCATAAAGCCACATAAACGCTCACGGCCAGGGTCAATAGAGAGGAGGAAGCAGCCACCAAGGCCCTCAGCCAAGGCAAGGAATGGGGACAAAAGAGGTTCACGGCTAAAGCAAGAGACAGCTGCCAAGACCCATAACCAAAGGCAACCCAAGAGACAACAAGTAAAGCTTACGGTTAAGGCAACAAAGGGCCCAAAAAAGATCTGTTAAAGCTCACGGTTTAAGGCAGCAAAGAGCAGCTGCTAAAGCCCACGACCAGAGGCAACCCAAGG